TGAGCTGGAACTAAGACGCTAACATCTGGATCTGGAGACTTTATTTGAATTTTATTCGTTCAAATACAAATGTATAGATTTAATCTTTCTATGAATCCACTTGCAGAATATTTTTACTAATTAAGGACATCACCTTCAAACCTACAATGCTTTCAATTGAAAACACTCTATTTAAGTGTCTTCTACTAGTCTTGACTATTTACAGACTCTTGGAGATATTAAGACAAAGACCTCATCCCTGAGCCAGTATTTTAAGTGTAGGTCAATTAAAACAAACATAAATAAACATAAGTAACATTACCAAAATTGTTAATGTTATTAATTGTGAGATATCTGAAGTCATATTGTTGGGCAGAACTCTTTTGCCAGTGTTTGTGCATTAAAATATTAAACTGTGTCACCCTTAAGTTGTTTCTAACCTTTTCTAATGTTTATTATTATTGTGCTTCTCTTTAACTTGAGGTGAGACATGTTTTCATGCAATTAATATAATCAGTTTAGAAGGAAAAATGCTGAGGCAGATTTTACCACTTGAACTTGGGACAGGAGACTAACTTTTGCTGTATTAAAATCCTCGTTCCATTAAATAAAATAACCCAATCCATCATGGTGATGCTTTGAATTTTAACCCTCTACCTTTATAATACTCTTCAATGTACCAAAAGTTTGTGATGTTACATTTAATTATTTAATTTATTTAAATTTATTGATTCACAAATGTATTTCCTTTTGGAGATTAACAGAGCAGGAGGCCCTTTTGAGTGTTTTTTATTAGGATTTTAAATCAACACTGTGAGGATTATCTTAATTTACTTACCTCTTTGTACATAATGGACAACTTTAAATGTTTAAATAAAGCTTCTCATTTTTTGATCAAGGTGCTGTATGTTGTAATTGTAATTTTTTTTAATTTAAATACAAAATGGGCCGTTCAGGATTTCACCACCAGAACTCTTAAAATACCTCAATCCACCAAAATGGGATCTTTTTCCTTTTTCTGGCACAAAACGAGTTGCAGGCCATTCATGACTGCTGCCTTTGCGTTTTAAATCCAGACTAGTCTGTTTTCTGGCAACTGGGAGTGTTATACGCCACCTTATGGACAAACTCTGCCATGACTCCCGTTCAGCCCCACAGATTCAGAACGGCGCGTGGAAACCTGTGTTTACCTCTGAAAACAGATACTTTCTCACATTTGGGTACATTTTGAGCTTTAATAGCTGAATGTTGGACACAGTGCATTATTTAAAAAGTCTCAAGACGGCGAGCTCATACAGTGGGGGAAATAAGTATTTGACCCCTTGCTGATTTTGCAGGTT